TTACTGTCTATGATGTCATAAAACGTTACCAGGAGTTGGGAAGTACAACGGAGCGTCTGCGTAGTGGCCGTCCTGTCACTATATGATCGAACTATATGGTGAAATTACCATAGAACAGTTCGTGACCATCGTCAACACTTTTTTATTTTTTTGTTTTGCTTTATTTTATCGGGATAAAGTACGATATTTTATCGTCGTAGTTATGTTCGCAAAAAAGTATATCTACTAACAAGTAATTCGACTCGTTCCATTCCGTTAGTTTTCATTTGCATCTTGCTTCCAAATTCTTAAAATATTCCATTTTCTTTAGAAATAGATGGCAATAAGAGTTGTGTAGGCAAGAAAGAAACAAAATATTGTAAACAAACGAGTGTATCAAAAACATTGAACTAAAATAAAATTAAATTAAGTTAGGTAAAAATTTTGTTATTTTTAAATAACAAAATTTATTTTTCATTTTATAAAATTTAGGTAAAAAATTCGAATGTATGAAAGCAAAAGAGTACATACACAGTATCAGGTAGTGACATAGAAGTAAAGTAACTTATAAAGAAACAAGTAAAAACGTTTCAGTCGGTATAAACCGATTGAATTATACCCTGCACCTTTCGTTATTGTGTAGCAATTACTCGAACCTGTGAAATCATTCTATAGAAACTTCACGGACATGTCTGACCTATAATTGGACATCCGACTGCCAAGTTTCATGAATCTGACCTTATAATTTTTCCAAATACTTAAAATTAGCTTGTGGAGTTGTATGGTAAGTACCTGAATCTGCCAAGCAATTCCATCAAAACTTCACAAATATATCTGATCTATAATCGGACACAAAACTGGCAAGTTTCATGAATCTGACTTTATTATTTTTCCAAATATAAAGAATTAGCTTTTAGACTTGTATGGGATCTACTCGAACCTGTTAAGCAATTCCACCAAAACTTCAGAAATATATGTGACCTATAACTCGACATACAACTGCCAAGTTTCATGAATCCGACTTTATTATTTTTCCAAATATGTAAAATAAGCTTTTGGAGTTGTATATCAAGTACCCGAACCTGTCAAGCAATTCCACTAAAACTTCACAAATATATCTGATCTATAATCGGACACACAACTTTCAAGTTTCATGAATCTGACTTTATTAGTTTTCCAAATATGTAAAATAAGCTTTTGGAGTTGTATGGCAAGTACCTGAACCTGTCAAGCAATTCGATCAAAACTTCACAAATATATCTGATACATAATCGGACACACAACTGCCAAGTTTCATGAATCTGACTTTATTATTTTTCCAAATATTAAGAATAAGCTTTTAGACTTGTATGGGAGCTACTCGAACCTGTAAAGCAATTCCACCAAAACTTCAGAAATATATCTGACCTATAACTCGACATACAACTGCCAAGTTTCATGAATCTGACTTTATTATTTTGCCGAATATAAAAAATTTGCTTCTGGAGTTGTATGGCAGCCACCCGAACCGGTGCAGCTATCCCATTAAAATTTTTAGAGCATATGTAGAATATAATTGGACACATGTATACAAACTTTTATATTTGTACCTTTATTAGTTTTTGAAATAATTAAAATAAACTCTTTGAGTTGTATGGCAGCTACCCGAACCCGTTGTCCGAATTGGTCCAATAGCAATAGGGTTCGTCCTTGGCACAAAAGAAGCAACTTGTGAAAGTTTGGTGTCGATTGCATTATTCGTTTTTGAGTTATCGTGCGATCGGACGGACGGACGGACGGACGGACGGACATGTCTAAATCGACGCAGAATTTTACGCTGAGCAAGAATATATATATATGTCCATACCGCAGATGACTCCTTCAAGTAGTTACAAACTCCATACCAAAGTTAATATACCCTTCACGAAGTGCAGGGTATAAAAAAAGGTGTATGCGTACTGATTAATACTTTATGAAATATAATCGTTACCGATTCATAGGAAATATGTTTTAAATTTAAGATTGAAATGAAAATAAAAAGTTTAAAAATAATTTATTTATTAATAATAATTATTAATTACAAATCCTTAACACTAAAAATTTAAAATATTTTCAAAAGTACATATTTACCTCTCCACATCTTAAAGCAACAAATGAAATTTTCGTGTCGGCTTTTTTGCCTCACACACAATATTACATCCCAAGCACTTCAAATAATGTTCACCCATTATTATAAAAAAATTTTTTTTTTCACAACTACTTAAATTTTTTTTTAATATTATACGTTTTAAAATTTATTTTTATTATTTTTCATATAAATTATAATAAGTTTTTTTAAACACTTTTTTTCCGCTTCGCTTTTATAATATGAATACACATTTTTTGCCACCTTGTACTGGAATGAATTACAGAAATTATTGTGTCGCTTTTAAAATTCTTAATATTTTTCCCTATACTTTATATAGGAACAAATAATAAAGTGTCGCCTTTCAAAATTATATTATAAACAAGTAAAAACGTTTCAGTCGGTATAAACCGATTAAATTATACCCTGCACCTTTCGTTATTGTGTAGCAATTACTCGAACCTGTGAAGTCATTCCACCAAAACTTCACGGATATGTCTGACCTATAATTGGACATCCGACTGCCAAGTTTCGTGAATCTGACTTTATAATTTTTCCAAATATTTAAAATTAGCTTTTGGAGTTGTATGGCAAGTACCTGAACCTGTCAAACAATTCCATCAAAACTTCACAAATATATCTGATCTATAATCGGACACACAACTGCCAAGTTTCATGAATCTGACTTTATTATTTTTCCAAAAATTTAGAATAAGCTTTCAGACTTGTATGGGACCTACTCGAACCTGTAAAGCAATTCCACCAAAACTTCAGAAATATATCTGACCTATAACTCGACATACAACTGCCAAGTTTCATGAATCTGACTTTATTATTTTGCCGAATATAAAAAATTTGCTGTTGGAGTTGTATGGCAGCCACCCGAACCGGTGCAGCTATCCCATTATAATTTTTAGAGCATGTGTTGAATATAATTGGACACATGTATGCAAAATTTTATATTTATAGCTTTATTAGTTTTTGAAATATTTAAAATAAACTCTTTGAGTTGTATGGCAGCTACCCGAACCCGTTGTCCGAATTAGTCCAATAACAATAGGGCTCGTCCTTGGCACAAAAGAAAAAACTTGTGAAAGTTTGGTGTCAATTGCACTATTCGTTTTTGAGTTATCGTGCGATCGGACGGACGGACGGACGGACAGACGGACATGTCTAAATCGACGCAGAATTTTACACTGAGCAAGAATATATATATATGTCCATACCGCAGATGACTCCTTCAAGTAGTTACAAACTCCATACCAAAGTTAATATACCCTTCACGAAGTGCAGGGTATAAAAAACAGGTTGACATCTATTGCGTACTCTTTTCCTCTCCCAAAAATTCTTATGTGCATAAAAATGAAAATAAGAAGGTATACTGCTTAACTCTTTTAACTGAGGGAATTTTTTGTATAGAAATATTGGTGAGTGATTGCATTAGTGTGATGTAAACGGAGAGTCGAACTACTTGTTAGTAGATATACTTTGCTTCGCAATTCGTAGAATTCCACGAATGGAATTCATAATATAGCTGATAATATATATGTACATACATATGTATATAGAATATACATAGATATTCGGAACATTCGAAATCAAAATATAAAAAAACAATTTTGAGTTAAAATTTGCTTAATATTTGTTGCAGATATTGGGCCTAATTTAAATGTAAATTTTTTTTATGTGAGCTTTTTTGTTAATATTTCCCTTCGTTGAATACAGCAAAATAAAATGTAGCATGAGTCATCTAAATCTATAAAATAGTTTGATTTAGAATGAATCAAGCCCAATTCTAGGGTTTTCTGTCAGAACATATCTACATTTTTGCCATTTCGAGTAAAATACCATTGAATTTTTTTTGTGTTATATTTGTTTTAGAAAAACATTAGCTTGTAAAAATTTAGTAAAGATGGCTTAAATAGCTAGCATTTTCAAATGCTGCTACTACATATCACATAGTATTAAAATTTTAACATACTTTTATGTATCAAATAAAATAGATATATTTTATTTCAATTAAATAATTATAATAAAAAAATGCTAAAAGAGGTTCCAAAACACTTGTTGCTTAATTGTAATAATTTGTTGTTTTCACCTTTGCGTTTCCTTTACCTTTTTGTTGTTTTAAGAAATGTTTAAAAATATTTTACCCAGCATTTACACATGCGAGTTACTTGCAAGCAAGTTTGTATAATATTAATTGTCAATTAGTTTTTCGAAATGTCAAATTACTTGCTATTATGATGTAGGCGTTTAGCAAGTTAATTTTTGAAAATGTCTTTGAGAAGAAAACAACTAGCAATATATATAATTTTTTATAAATTTTAGAAACCATCAGTTTGCAAAGTTTAATTTTTTCAAAACAAAATTCAAAAATTTTAAATTAAAAAAAAAAAAAATCAAAACAACAAATTTTTTTTTGTGAATTTCTCAATATGTCAAATTACTTGCTCAAATTACTGGCAGCAAAATTTTCTTGCAAGTTGAACTGCAAGTAAACAAGCAAGTAGAAATATTTCAATGTGTTAGTAAAATTTTTGTATGTATTGCAACTTTCTTGCAAGTAACTTGTACGTGTAAATGCTGGGTTACTTATATCAAAATTATTTTTAACCGAATACATTTTTCTTAAAAAAATGTAAAAATTAGGGATTTAGTAATTCTGGCAAGTATTTTTATGATATGTATATAAAGCAGTCTCAATTTTTTCGCTACATGCTCTGTTTTTTACAATACAGAACATCGCTAGTTTTAATTCATAATGCAACACCTACATTCTATGCTTTTGCTTACCTATCATTTTTAAATTTGAAACGTAGGCCCTTGATTTGCTGTAAATATACATACGTAAATGAAAGTATTTTCTAAAGTTAAATGTAAAATATATGTATTTGAAAACAAAAACTTCTTTAAGTTAAGTTCTAAATTTATATATATTTAATCCTTAAGAATGTGATATTACTAACCAGGACATTATAAAATAAAATAGAAATATTGGGTAAACACTGAGCACTTTTCTATTTGGCGGCTGACTATCGCCTAGAAACATAAATGATGCTAAAAAATAATTTTACATTAACAAAATGTCCAACATATAATTTTGTGGAAACGCCCAATGCGATTTTTTTGCAACGACTTCATTGTGTGGTAGTTAAATTTATAAATTTGAAGATACATACTAAAATTGAATTAACTACTTTATTCGGCTTATAAATTATTAGGCATTTCCATAAACACAATACTGCAAAACGATAACGTGATACATACAAATATATTTTTAACAGTTGCATAAAAATATTTATTAGGCCTTTTCATAAACACAGTATATCGTGATATATAGCGAGAACTGCGCTATATTTGTGCTCATAAACAAATTTTACTAATCAAGTTGGTTCATAAACATTGTTAATCTATCACAAAAATATTTAATTAGGCTAGGAAATTTAGTCCAACTTGTATTTAAGAAAATTTCTGTTTGTGAGACAAATCTGTTCGTCGACCCGCGACCAGGTACATACTTTAAAATATGTTTATATACAGGGAAATTCAGAAAGATGGACAACAATATACACATACTGTTGGTTAAAATATCGAAAATGGGTAAAATTTTTGTTCCGGAGCTGGTACAAAATCTCAAGTGTCTCGAATACACGAATTTTATCCATTTTTCCCAAAATTTCTACATGTCCAAAATTTTTTTTTTCAAAAACAAACATTTTTAATATACGTCAGACGAATTGCTTAGGCTACGTAACAATTATCTTACAATTTATTGCCCGAAATAGCCAAAATTATCAACATTTAAACGCACAAAATGTGAATATCAGATGGCCTGGCAAAATCGTCATTATTTAATGAGGAAAGAAAAGGAAATGGTGGAGAATTAATAAGGGTGAGAGTATATTATTGTGTGAGAACGACTTGTGTCACGAAAAGCAATCACTCTTAAAAAAGCAAAGACGATTGAAAAGACATGTGATATTACCCATCTGACAAGTACGACCAAACTCACTTTAAACTTCGGATATTAAATCCAATAACTCTTAATTTCACCCATACAATTCGATGAGGAATAACATCAAAAGCTTTACTAATGTCAATGAAAATTATCTGACCACCCCGCTACGTGACTTTTGTAGTACTTACAACAAACTCCACTAAATTCGAATTCATAGATTGAATGGAATATTAAGGCCTCTTCCTCGGTGGAACTTCACTTTGTCGTGGTGAAGGAGTTGAGTAGAATCGATGAACTCGATAGTGATGTTGGCGGATGCTGCTATTATGCAGTACCTGGCAGGTCAACCATGCCGATAGGCCGAGAAGAGATCTAAAACTAAGAGTTACTTCCTAGGGGCAACGAGTAATTTGTGCGACCTAATGTCGGGTGGATGTCTAAAAGGTTGCGTATGAGCCGGTTAAATCTTCTTGTGAACCCAGTAAGGGAACGTCGTCCGAAGAAAAACTCTGTGAAAGGAATGCGGGGTTTGTCCCCCCTCAGATACCAGAAGGTAATTGATAAGTCCGAACCATACAGGGCCTCCAAATTTTTTCAGAATATGAAACGCAACAGCTCTCATAATGATGATTAGTTAACTCAAGAGAGCAGGAGATCGAGGATTGACAAGCCACAGATGTTTACAGCACGAACAACTGCACATCACACTCAGAAAAGGAAGATGAGTGAAGCGGCCGTGATCTAGAATCTGCATATTTGTTAAAAGATATATTAAACCATTTTTTTGCTCTAAATTATTAGTAAAGCTGGAGTAAGAAAACGACGGGATTCTGTTTATGTGCATGAACTTTATGGCCCATGACAGACTTGCGTCACCGCCGTAAGTCGTTAACCTGGTGTCAGAGATCACAGCCAAGTAATCTAGTTTGATCATTGATTGTGATGCAAACAAACGGAGCGCTTATACGATTTTATTTTAAACATTAATTTAGAAATAATAAATAAGGGCAACACTCCCACTTCAATTTTTCCCAGCTATGTTGGATATAACACTTAAAACAAACAATTGTTTAATTGAGAACTCTTCACGGTGCGGTTCGGACTTTCATTTTTGAAAAAATTAATAATTTTTGCATATACATACATACATATGTACATAATCAATCCCTAAATCAGAATTGCAGACATAGGAAGAAGGGGTATATAAATAATTAGAATAATTGTCCCTTATTTTGTGATTATAATATCTTTAAAATCTGTTCTTCTTATTATTTCTTTGAGGCCTCAGGCTCCAATAAATGGATTCCAAAACAAAACATGTTTCTTTTTTTTTTACTTGCACATACATATGCAAACATACATATATACACACACATTTAACGATTACCTTTTTCAACTTTTCGACAGCAAGGTACCAACATAGGTATCTGCATTAAACGTATCTTTCCGCTACTTCGTAATGCATGTCATTTCTCTTATCGTGTTTATTACATACATATGTATATGGTAAATATTTCGTTTCAGAATAAGGTTTGAATATTTTTTTTTTGGATATGAAGTTATCTGAGAAAAATTAGAAAAGTAAATTCGTTTGATACCATATTTGATTGTCAAATTCATTCGAAACCAAATATTAAAGTAAAAATATCCCAAAATATACTAAATATTTTGCAGAATTGATACGCAGTTAATCTATAAAAACACCTGATATGTACATATATGTACATAAATTTTCAGCAACCGTTCTAATTTAGGAAATACCTTATGATAAACTATAAATATTATGAACTCCATCGCAATTAACGTTTCCGACTTAAATTAATTGTCAATACCGTATGTAGCCCAAAAAAAGCCTATGCTTGTTGTTATGAGTCTTAAAACAAAAATGACTTTCGAAGAATTTACTTTAAGCAACACCGCACAAATTGTTAAAGCCACTGCCAAAGGTGTCAAACAATAACCAAGCACGCACACAGACTGAAAAAATGAGCTGAAAATGATTTTTTAAGCTATTAATATTAGTTAAAATATTCAGAATTTGTTAGGGTTACATATTTCCACCTAGAAGTTTTGAATTCAAAGTAACTACTGCAGCTCCTATCCAAACAATTAGGAATATTTGAGCGAACTCTGGACCATTGTCATGCACATTATCAGCTGAACCATGTAATATTGTAGCCATAAACGTACACAAAACTAACGGCCCCCATAGGTCCCCTGCGCGAAACAAGAAAAATTATACGTATTATAGTAAATATTTTTTTATACAATCTCTCAATATGCTAAATTTTTCTGTCGGACTCAAAACATGATAAAATTTTAATCCCACTGCCTTAACATCACGGTACTATAAAGAAGATTAAAATAACAAAAGAAAAATAGTGAATAATGTATAAGTACTATTGTCTCCTTTATTGGTTCATCTAAAGTGTAGAAATTATGTGCACCTGGTTGCTGTTCGCTGTGACGTGTGGAATTTATTGTCATATCTCCATGAAGATGGGAGTTCGATATATGGTTGGATACCTTAAATGTGAATTTATGATGATTGATTTCTTTTCAATATTCTTGATTGATTTCTTTGGCTTTTCTTGTAAATGCAACTTACCTCGAGTTTTGTTTCCATATTTAATACTTTTATTCTGATTTTTTAATTTTGCAATATCACTAAAAATCAATAACCACATTCAAACTAAATTTGACAATTGAGGTTTATAGAGTTATGGTGGTTACTTTCTAAGATCGATTAATTGAATTTGATCAATTCCCACGGCCAATATTGATTAAAAATCGAAAATTTAAAATAATCGAAAAAATATATGTATCGTCTCCCCGAAGTTATTTGATTATATATGACGAACACTTGATTTTGAGAAAACATGTACATATAAAATTTGAATCGACCCAACAGAAAATTTAGCCGGCAACGTATGTAATTTTTTTTAAATTTTTTAATGAATTGATTAATTAATTATCTTTTAGATCTAAAAATATATTTTGCGTAGAACTAAAATTAGAAAGTTATAGCTGATTTTACTAAAAATCATCTTGTATAATGCGTAGAACTAAAATTAGAAAGTATATAGGCACAATAAAATCACGTTTTTGGATATTAAACACAGACTCCTTTAATGTACAAGATGTCTTAATGTTTTTGCATATGTATGTGTTTCCAAAGTTTTTGTTCAGAAAAAAGACTATTCATTTCTTTAGTCCATTCTTTTTAATTTAATTTAGTGAAAAAGTATACTTATTATTTGTGTTTTTAAGTAAAATGAAGATTAATGAATTATATTAATTAAATTTTATATTTTGTTTATAATATTTAGTAAAAAAGAAGGTGGATTTTGAAAAAATTGTACTAGTTTATTTAAAAAGAAAAAATGACTTAATAAATTAGTAAGATTCGGTGTACTTTTTAATGTTTCTATTGTAATCATATTTAAATAAAATATAATAGTATCTTTTTTTTATTGGTATAAATAGAAAACCTCCTTTTATTCGGAATAAAATACTTTTTTTATTTTTGCTAATATATTTCATGCGCTACATACGCACTTTATCAAAGCTGATTTTTTTTTAATTAAGACAACAAACAATAAAAATTAAAATCTATTAAAATTAGGAATATTATACTTGACTTAATATAATTATCTACCTGACTTAATCTAGAATTTTATTATTTATTTATATTTTTTTTTCTTTCTTTTTTTTTTGGTTATTAATTACAAACTAAATTTATACCTGTTTTAAATCTTAAAACTAGTCAAATATTTAATTTAAAGAGCCAAGTAGCCGCGTTACTTTCGTCCATGTTCAGTAGGCAGTCCTTGTTTGATTTGTATATCTGCATGCTTTCATGAACTTCTTTCCTGTGTTTTGCTTTTGCTTCTTTTAATACCTTTAACTTATCTCCCGTAATTGTGTGATCTGTTTCATAAATGTGTTTTGCAACCATAGAATCGAAAATCCTGTTAAATCCTACTATTCTTGCACGTTTTATTTCACTTAAATGTTCCTTAAGTCTTGTTGTAACAGGGCATTTTTCATGTATCTTCAATTTATCCTTAGCCGAATTTAACAAGTTCCTAAGTTGATATTTACTATTGGTTTCCGATGTCCGAATATTGTGTTTCCAACTATGTTTATTTATCAAGTTTGTACAGTGATGATCATAACTTAAAGATGCCCATGTTGCTCTTTGTTCTTCCAATATCCTGTTCTGTTTAAACAATGTGCTCATATTCTCCTGCTTAATTTTTCGTGTTTTCTTCCTAATGAGTTTGTTAATACGTTCATTTTCCTCAATTTCGAATGTAAATTCAATGTTTCTATGTAATTTGTTGATGCATCTGTTTATATTCTCCAGTTCTTCCTTGTCCACTATCGCGAAGACGTCATCAACATACCGCATTCATACTCTCGGCATCAGACAATCCTCCTCCATCCTTTTTTCTAATTTGGACATAAATAATTCTGCGATAAATGGTGAAAGTGGATTGCTCATCGATACTCCCGACGTTGTTCTGTACATCTCGTTTCTGAATTAGAAGTAATTCTCCTCCATGCAAAGTCTTGCTAATTTGTGGTATTCTCTGACTTTGTTCCTCCAATTTTCTGTTTCTCCTGCTTGTGTTGATAACCATACTTTCAAATATTCAAGAGCTTCGTTAACTGGAACATTGGGAAAGAGCACTTTGACATCGAACGATACCATTAATTCATCAGGACCAATTTTTAAGCTTTTCGTTTTTTCTACAAATTCCTCTCTATTCTTAAAGGAACAGAAACGGAAATCCATTTCCTCAAATCTTTTCACGAGCCATTTCGCAATTTTGTATGTTGGGGCGCCGTTAGCGGATGTGATCTTCCTGAACTGCTCACCTTCCTTGTGAATTTTTGGTAGACACACCAGTTTCGGAACCGATGGATTCGGCACCGTCAAGTTAATGTTGAAGTCCAGAAACTTGCACTCCTTTAAAGCTTTCTTAACCTCCATTGCTGATTCCTTCAAAGGGTTGCTCCTAATTTTTCTAAAATTATCCACCATTGAAGAATTTTTTGAATATAATAGTGTATTTGATTACGTTCATATAAATAGAAATGCCACTAGAAAGTGTTCCGTCGAAGGATGCGGAAGCAATAGTCTACGAGAAAAGGAGAACGTAAATTCTATACCTACATTTACAGGGACCAAAACATCAGAGACAAATAGATACAAGCATTAGAAAAAAGGAGTTCTAACCCGCCGAAGTGTTTTTATTTTGTAAGAACTTTAAACTTTATTTTGTTGCCTGTGGCAAATATAATTTAATCAAGTTGATCTAATCTAATCTAATGTTAAGATTTTAACAATTTAAATAAGTATGTAATTTAATCTCTTATAAAAGAAAATTAAAAAATTTTGTGAATTTAGTTGATAAATATTACTAGTTTACTCGTCAAATATTACTAGTTTTAAGAAATATTGTTTAAAAATTTTATTTTTTTATGAAAATATGTCATGTTGCTTTTTCAAAAACAATTTTGTTATGTATTTATTATTTTGGTTTTAACTGAAAAATATTTTGTTACCTGTAATTTATTATAATGTAATTTAAAATTTTTAAAAGCTTTATAAAACTTGAAAATCTAACAGCTATCGGAACATGTTTTTCTTGCAAGTATCGGAACATACATATGTATATCAAAAGATTTTATTTAAAAAAAAATTTCACTAACAATAATTTCATCTGGTAAAATAAAAACAAAAAACAAGCAATATAAAATTTCATCAATATATATTCCCCCTAGACACAACCTAAAATACGAAGATTAAGAATAAACGATCCAAGGACTAAGCGATAATTTCATAATAGGAGGCAAGTTCAATGCAAAAAATACTTTTTGGTATCAAGATCTACTCCAAAAGGGAGAGCACTGTTCAAGGCTGGAACAGACATGTAGAACAATTACCAGATGTTGTAGATTTTTTCATCAGTAAAAATTTGCCAAATAATTACATTGACGGAAAAGGAAACGTTGACCTAAGTTCGATCAGTCCCCAATAATAATGACCATAAGTTAAACTACCATTTATAAGCCCATAACAAACAGATTAACGTACAATTCAACAAATTGAGAAAGGTTAAGTAATGATTTAGACGCTATTATTAATCTAAATGCTCCTCTTAGGAGACCTTTACTACAGAAACTAACATAAACATGAGCAACCAATTAAATTATTCGCTTGAAGTAAAAATCTATTAAATGAAGGAAAAAAAGCTAGAAGAATTTGGCAAATGAGAAGAGTAAATCAAATTAAATTTTCAATTAAAAATAAATTGAATTACTTAAGTAACAAATTCAAAAGGTTATTAAGGGATGCAAAAAATGAAAGTTTGTCATCTAAGCTGAGCAAACTATCATCTGAAAAAAATGGAAATTACTTTTTATGGAAAATGATTCAACAAACCGAAAAATCCTGCTCCACTAAAAAAAGAACTGATCACACCTGGGAAAAAAGTGATCTTAAAAAAGCTGAAGTATTTGCAGATTATTTAGAGAAAATTTTTGAAGTTCCTTCACAACCTTCACAGAATTTTAACATAAATATTCATCATACAAATTCTGAAAGAATGATAATCAACAATATAACATTAAATGAGGTAAAAAGAGAACTTAAAACCTTGAAAAACCATAAAGCGCCAGGATATGATTTGATTACACGCAAAATACTAAGAATTACAAACACGATGGAAGATTCACTAATAAAAAAAACAACTATGCTCAGTAGTATTTTTAGATATTGCTAAGGCTTTTGATAAGGTGTGGCATGAGGGCCTTTTGTATAAAATAAAACGTGATCTTACAGAACCCATCAGTGATATTTTAACATCTTATTTAGAGAATAGAAGAGCTTGCGTCAAACAGAGTGATAAGGATTCAAAATTAAAAGAGATCAGAGCGGGAGTTCCCCAGAGAAGTGTTCTGGGACCGATTCTATACCAATTATACACGAATGATACACCACAAGATGAAGGAACCAACATTGCTACTTTTGCGGAAGACACTGTCATTTTGGCAAATGGAAACAAAATTGAGGAAAGCAAATTTAAACTACAGAAAAGTATTGACAAATTTTCTCAATGGACGAAGATATGGAGTATCCAATTAAACGAATCAAAATCAGTTCATTTCAACTTCACCAAAAAAACAATGTTTGACTAAGTAAAAATCCATCTAAATAGCAATGCAATCCTTAATTTAAATAAAGAAAAATATCTGGGTATAACGTTAAACTGCAAACGAAAATCGAAGCAGCATGTAAGAAAGAAAAAAAAATTAAATAAATGCAAAAATGAGATAAATGCAAAAAAAGATATAAACTGGCTGTTTAGCAGTAAGGAGGTTACAATAAAGAACAAACTGTTAATCTATAATCAAATGATAAATCCTACATAGCTTTATGGCATCCAGTTATAGGGCTGTGCTAAAACAGAAACTTAAATATAATTCAAAGGATTCAGAATAAAATCCTTAGAAAAAGTGTTGATGCTCCATGGTATGTGAAGAACACCTGTGATAACGCTGTATATCTAAAAGTATCTGGTGTGGAAAGAGAAATCTTATTCCACATTACAAAGTTAGCTAATAGAGTAACCTCACATACGAATAGCGGAATCTCATCAATTATGCAAAAACACAGTTTGACTGAAGACTGAAGACTTTATAGGAAACTGAAAA